CATTCCTACCCCATCAGAACGAAAGAAAACAGTAACTCCTATTCTAACAAAGCAGTATCGAAAACCCACAAGACATCCCAAAATATACCACATAAATAATGAAGGAAAAATCGGGCGACATGATAACATTATCAGACGACGGAAAGGCAACAAAAATGCGAAAACTCAAAGAATCTCAGCTAAAATAATGCCTCAAATCGAACAAAAAATAGAAAAACAAAAGTACAAATCAAACTCGGCATTCACATGAATCAAATCAACATAGTAGCGCAACACAAGCATTAACACTTAAAGATAGAGATTCATATAGACCTAAAAGATCTAAATTGTACAGTAACTACCTGGGCACAGAGAATGGAGATTCTGATGAAGTCTAGAGAGAGGAAGTTCGGAGGTTTTTCGGGGCTAAATGACAGTGTCGTGTAGAAGGAAACTGACGAAGAGAGTAATCATCTGGAATTGCTTCTGTGGGCCAAAAGAAAAGTAGAAAATGAATTGAATGAGAAAAAAAAAATGGATTAACTAAAAGGAAAGTTGGCAGGCTTAGATGAGTCGGGAGGTTCAAAACATGTCTTTTTTCCCTTTAATTCTGTGAATTGACTCTTCTGTAAGAAAGGTCTTTGCTGCCTTGCGGCTTCCTTTGCTTAATGCAAGCTTAATTAGGAAGAATTTTCAAGTGTTAATACGAAGAGAAAAATCGGAGGCCCAATATAAATACAACCCATTTGTTGTTGGGCAATTTACATATGTACTTAACTAATTGTTAAATAATTGTAAAGATACCAAACAAAAAAAAAAGAGTATTACTATTTACCGCCCCTCCTATTATTAGTCACCGCCTCCTTGGACAATTTTGCCCGTTTCATTTGTTCTTAAATCTAATAAGAGCGAAATGTCGTTTCATTTGTTCTAAAATCTCATAAGAGCGAAATGTCTTCCACCTCCGAGGTAATTTTTTTTTCGCCAACCGCCGAAACCGGACGAAATCGGTCGTGTCCAACCGTCAGAACCGGACAACCTTAATGGCGTCCGGCCAGTCCAGCCGCACACGACTGGGCATGTCCGGTATTTTGGGTCGTAGGGACCGGTCCGCACACGGACCGGCTGGCCGTAGGTGTCCGGCTGCGGCGACCGGACTTGAGGTCGGTCTGGTCCAGCCGCACACGATTTTTTTTAAATAATAATATTATAAAATATTATGTTATAGATACGAAATAATTATGTAATAAATTGGACGTTAGATATTATCGTGTTAGGAGTTAGAAATTAATTAGATTTGTTTATCTATAAATTGGATGTTAGGTATTACC